TAAAAGTTATGGACGGAACGCGAAGACGAATAATAGCGAAGATGACTCTTTTTCTCTCCAACAATTATTGTAATCGTGAAGTTCAGCTAAAAATACAATGTCAATCGATAGATAAAAAGGCAAACGTGTCAATGAAAATGATACCCTAGCTGTAAACCAATAAATATGAACTATGAACCATTTATCGCTTATAATTAATAATAGCAATTTATTTTACTGATCTGCGGACCTTCCCTGACCAGAATCGTCTAAATATTGTCTAACACAATGCCAGGAATCGCTAAGGGGGTTAATGAAAAATCTTAATTTCTTTTGTGGTTAATAATAACCCAGATGATAACCCAGAGTCACTTAGTTCTAGTTGCTTACAGTCTGGTTATCATTCTCACAGACGTCCTCGATTCTACGGAAAATCTCTCCGAGAAGAATCTCCCGGATACACGCTCCGTTGGTTAGACTAAATGACAATTTCAGCTATAATCGCTGGAGAAACATCGATTTACTTTATAATGCTCCTTAATCACATCTACATCGCACGCAACACGCTAGACAAGCGAGTTCCAGAAAAAAAACTGTTCATGCCAGTGGAATCACAAGACTGGAAAATATGGGGCAAAATTCTGTATCACGACTTCAACGTTCTGAGCAAATGGCACTCGTCACTACAGCTTAACAAATAGGATCGTTTGATTCAGCTTTCGGGATCCTGTGATTTTATCCTTCCTAAACAAAATTCGTCCTCTTACAACTTGAAATCACTGTCGCTTTCTTAATTATGCACCAACGATCCAAAGGGTAATTAATTTGCTTATCACTTTAGAAGGGTCCGGTTCCAATCCAATATGACGCTCACAAAATTCATTGTGAGCTGCTAATTTTGAGCTAGGTATTCACCCAGCTTCGGCGTAATGAGTAAAGTAATGGGAAAACAGCAACCTGTACACTGCAGATAGCGTGGTGTTCTGATACAGTCATGCCATGTAGCTCAAGAACCAGGCCATGTTATCTTATGTATACACCCTCTGCTAAAAATCATCTTAACCCACATGACAGCTGAATGATAGTCAGCACAATGAGTAAACCGTAAATATAATTTATATTGAATAACCGAAGAAGACTATTAAGACTAAACTCGGAGAGGCAGGTTCACTCGCGGGTCAAAAGTTCGCAGTACGTACTGGAC